AGATTTACTTTCTTTATTTCGTTTTCCTCATCCAACCCCCATAAATCCCTGTGTGTCCTCCTGCAGCACTCCCGGAGGACAACAGGCAAAACAAGACAAAAAAGTCTAACGTGTTGAGTAAAAACTGCTATTTTTAGCACATTTTTAGGGCCGACGTGTTGCTACCAGACGTACAGTGTGAGCAGTCAGGTCGCATGCGAGAACTGGGTCGTACAGTGTGAGCACATGACTCGTGAGATCTGCTCTGCGAGGAAGTCGTACAGTTTGAGCTGAAGCTGAGTGCTGCGAGTGAAAAAGTTGCACAGTGTACGTCCGGCTTTACAGGGAAAAATGTCGGACTTTTGAAACGCATGCAAGATAAAGTGACAGAAATCGATGCAGATCAAAAATAGGTGTTTTTGCATTGTATTATACACCAACATGTGTTGTGCAAGTCAGTGCTAAAAATCAACCATGTTACTGATGTTGTTACTAAAATAATAAACTTCATCAGGGCGTGGGCCATGAATCACAGACAGTTTGTGGCTCTTGTGGAGGACTCCACACAGCTGTCAGATGGCTCAGCCTGGGGAAAGTGCTGAAGAGGGTTTGGGACTCGAAAGCAGAGATTCAGGATCTCTGCTGGATTTCTACTCTTCTCTTAAGGAGGACTTTCCAAACCTGAAGAGACATGCTCAGAAGATGTTGGTTCTCTTCAGCTCTACCTACATTTGTGAACAAACATTTTCAATGATGAAGTTTACAAAATCCAGGTAAAGATCCTCTCTCACTGATGATCATTTGTCAGCTGTGCTTCACATCTCCACCTCAGACATTCAACCTGACTTTGATGCACTCGCTAAAGCCCAGCAGAGACTAGATTTCTCTCACTGAATAAGAAAAAAATTGCTTAAAAACACAAAATAAGGTGTTTGGACCACAAATGTAGGCAACTAGCAGTGAACTGGGACACTTTTTTTAAACCTCTTTCTCAAGATCACAGTTCAGTGATTTTATTTTACAGACGATTCTGTGTGTCTGTAGAATGCTAAGAACCTCTTTCCAACAATATTTGAAACTCAGAATGTGTTTTGGAGTGAATGTGACTGAAACTGTTAACTAATATAAGTCACAAATGTTTAACAAAAACCAAATGTGCACACTTTGTTTACCATTGCCTTGGTAAATTTGAATAAATCACATTTTTGTAAGCCAACCTCACTTTTTCCTTTTTGCTCATTTATAACATATAGTCTACTCTTACCAGCTTGAAGAAACAATGGTGTTTACTGCTTTTTATAAAGAAATACCATTAATATTATGCATAATTGACTTCAGCCTTTTGGCCTGCGGCCCTCCACAATATTTTCTATTTCTCATGTGGCCCCATGGAAAAAATAATTGCCCACCCCTGGCCTACTGTGTCATCAAAAACACCCCAAAAATGGCAAAAAAAAAAAAAAAAAAAAAAGAAAAGAAGATAATTTCCCTTGCCAAAAATTGATTACAGTGTCCTGGTCACCTGTAAAGGGTTACATTTACCTAAATATTACTTTATTTATTATTTCTTGATGTTATTGGTGCCATCACAGGATGCCGGGTGTCTTTCACATTCATAAACACCGCAAAAATGGCAACAAATGATCATTTCCCTTGCCAAAAATTGATTACAGTGTCCTGGTCACCTGTAAAGGGTTACATTTACCTAAATATTACTTTATTTATTATCTCTTGATGTTATTAGTGCCATCACAGGATGCCGGTGTCTTTCACATTCATAAACACCTCAAAAATGGCAACAAATGATCATTTCCCTTGCCAAAAATTGATTACAGTGTCCTGGTCACCTGTAAAGGGTTAAATTGACCTAAATATTACCTTATTTATTATCTCTTGATGTTATTAGTGCCATCACAGGATGCTGGGTGTCTTCCACATTCATAAACACAGAGTCCTGGTCACCCATAAAGGCTTAAATTGGCATAAATATTACTTCATTTATTATGATGCTGGGTGTGTTCCACAATCATATTCGAATAAACGTGAAAATATTCTGTCCGAATATCTGTTTCTTGTTATAAATATAACAGCTAGAAGGATTTACAGTTAAAATAGGAGAAACACGTGACTCCCCAGGAAGGGTCGTAACACCACTTGCCTCATGCATAAGTGAACAAAACAAAGCAGCATGGAGACACTCCGTCTCCAACCACCTCTCAGGCAGCAGCCTGCACTCCCAAGTTCTACACGTCACCAGAACATAACCAACCGCAACACAATAAAAGCAGTGTTATACAAAATGGAAGGCCTGTAGTGTTTATTCTCTTACAGTAACGACTTATCAATTTTTTGGAGGAATTTATTTGAGAATTTTTTGGTTTTTATTAATTGTGCAATAGAAAAGTAATCGCTAGATTAATCATCTAAATAGTCATTAGAATAGTCGACTATTCGATAAAATAATCGTCAGAATAATCATTTTAAAAATAATCAGTTACCCCAACCCTACTTTTTAGAATACCAGGATAGGAAGGATGGTGTAGGTTTACGTTTATTAGATTGATACATAAATACTACCAATAAGAAAGTGTACGTTGGTGTGTGTCAGAAACAGCGTAAGGCTTAATGTCTTTTCCAAAAAAAAAAACAGGTGATGGGCCGGTCTCCAGTCAAAATGCCCGGGCTGAATTTTTGTCCCAGTCCAGCCCTGCTAACTAGCTTGTTCGGTCTCTTCCTGTCTCAGTCAGAGCTGCCTGCACCCCCACAGACCACAGCTGAGTGGATAACAGAGCCAACCACGGATTGATTAAAGGATTTTAGCAGCTCGAAATTAACTCCGAAGGACCTCAGCCTCCTCAGGAGGTGAAGGCGGCTTTGGCCCTTCTTACACGGAACATCTGTGTTGTTGGGCCAGTTCGGTTTGCTGCTCCCTGGATGTTTAAGGGTGAGTGAGTGGGAGTGTTTCTCTGGAAGTTAATCACCATTTCCTTTGTCTTACTGGTGTTCAAGTGTAGGTGGTTATGCTCACACCAGTCCACAAAGTCCATGATGACTGACCTGTACTCCTAGTCATTCCCCCAGATGCACAGCCGACAATGGCCGAGTCATCAGACAACTTCCGGAGGACAGTTGCTGGCGTTGTAGGTGAAGTCCAAGGTGTAGAAGGTGAAGAGAAATGGTGAGAGTACCATACCCTGTGGAGCTCCAGTACTGCACACAACCACCTCAGATGTACAGCTGTGCGGCCTCACGTACTGTGGCCTGTTGGTAAGGATGTTGATGGTCCATGCAGTCAGATGATTGTCCACTCCTGCACCCCTCATCTTCTGCTGCAGTAGACATGACTGCATGGTATTGAAGGCACTTGATAAGTTGAAGAACATGATTCTCGCAGTGCTTTTTTGCATCGCATGGTCCACCACCCCCATGTTTTATTTATGTGCAAATTGCAGTGGGTCTATTTCCAGGGCCACCTTTGAGCCTCAGTTCTGACCTCACCATGTAACTGAGAGGGGGGAGTGAGGAGTGTGGTGCCGAGGAGGAGGGAGAAGCTGATGAATGGTGTGAAATTTGGAGGTGGTTGGGGGGGGGGGGGGGGGGGGGGGGGGTAACAATCTGTTATGAAACAGGATGAGCTCATTAGCCCGGTTCTGTCCTCTTCAGCAGGCTCACTCCCACTGTGACCGGTCAGGAGACCTCTCCATGCTCCACGAGCATTGTTCTGCCCTAGATGTTTCTCCAGCTTCTTCCTTTAGATGTCTTTAGCCCGTCTGATCTTATATTTGACCTCCTTCTGGACTCATCTCTGTTCCTCTGTCTCCAGCCATAAAATATGTTTTCTTATCATTCAGCAGGGATTTCTGCTCAGGGGACAACAAGGGTTTATTATACGAGAAACACCTCACTCTTTGTGTTGGGACGATGCTCTCTACAAAAAAAGTAACATTCAGTGACACGGTGGGTCAGACTGCCAAGGTCATGAATGTCAAGGTTATTTATTTAGAAAAATTATGCATTTGTGTCTTCTTCAACAGTGTATGGCGGACTGCCCCGTTGACTGACATCCGCAGTGATGAGTACGTCACAATGTTTGTTGTCCAATAGCATGTGGAGACAGTTTGAAAGACAACCGCCAATTCTACCCCACGGCTGATCTCAGAGTTGTGGCCAGACTATATATTCACATATATAGGATGGCATACGAGGCTAGCTCTGAATCTAATACCACCATAGAACTCTTCTAAACGCTTGCTATTAACTTTTTCAGAAAATTATTTTGATTAAAAGCTAAGTGAAGTCAGCTGTCTCGATTTGAACATATTATTGAACTTAATGGATTACCGAATCCACAAACCTTCATCTGCGTCCTTACTGAGAACTGACATGTTCCCGGCCTAATATGGTAAACGACCCACACTTGTACAGCGCCTGCAGAATCGGAAGACTCCAAAGCACTTTACACTACAGTGTATCATTCATCCATTCACACACACATTCCCACAGTGATGGTGATGAGCTACAGTCTTGCCACAGCTATCCTGGGGCACATTGACAGAGGTGAGGCTTCCAAGCACACGCACCACCAGTCTCTCCCACTGCCACCAGAAGGCAGGGAAGGTTGAGTGTCTTGCCCAAAGACACGGCAGCAGAATTCTCTGCCAGGAGCAGGAATTGAGCCTGTAACCTTCTGATTGCTGGTCAACCCGTGCTACCTCCTGAGTTAGTTAAAGTCCCGTAGTGGTGCAGTGTGGTGAATTACAGATTAAATTATGTGACTGTGATGGATTAGAGACCCGTCCAGGGTGTCCCCCACCTCTCACCCAGTGACTGATGGGACAGAAACCAGCTCAACACCACCCGTACTGGATAAAGTAAGTAAAAAAGAGATGTGTCAACAACTAGGGATTATCCAATCAAATTAATTTGTCTCCCAAGTCCAAATCAGTTGATTTAGAGTATCTGCTGATATACAGAATCCAAACCTAGCTCTTTAGTAACGCATTAAAAGAAGAAAAAGGAAGGACAGATCCAAGTTGTCCTTTATTTTTTGAATGATTTCTGTGTCACAAACATCACTCATTCAGGAAGTACATTGATAAGACACATGTTAATTTTGCAAATATATTTAAAAGTAGCCTCGTCGCTCATATTTTAAATTGTTGGAACAGTATGTGGCTGAAGTGAGCGATGTACATTCCTGCAACAGGGCAGGCACCTCACGGCCAGCAGGTTCTTCTATGCACAACATCTGAAAGCTATGCTTAAAGTAGTGATGTGAAGGAAACTCATACCGCAGCTCCAGGAGACAGCAAAACCTGCCGTTTGCTGCAGTAACCCGACCCAGGTGGCAAACAAGAACTAAATGCCGACAGGTGATTTGCTGTGGTGACGTCTGAAGGGACAAGCCAAAAGACGTTTGTTTTAAGGTGGGGTATCACATTTGTAGTGTTGAATGCAGCTCCGTCTTTCCACCACGTGGAATAAACAATAAGCACACACTACAAGTGGCTGTTGGACAGCTTTCGCTGTCCCGTTAGAAATACGTCCAAACTGCAGACATCGTCTCTCTCCTGAGATACCTTAGCTCTGCATTAGCCTGCTAGCTAACTGCTATATGTTACGGTGTCTGAATTCCCCACCTGCCGTAAGCTGTGTGACAATACGATGTTGTTCATGCAACAATCAATATTCATATGAATATTCTTGCTGATGTTTTTATATGATGTCTGAGTGGTTTCAGCACACTGACTCCCATCAGACTGGGTCTGCTGTGTCCCTGTAAGAAACATTCATGGAAGCTTAAGTCACACTTCTACAAGAACAATAACACAATGGAAATATATGTCTGGGTGTGGTATCCAGGTAGTTTTCAGTTTACGAGTGAGTCTGGTTCTGCTGTCACTCAGCTCCAACTGGCTTTCTCTCTGGTGTGGAGCCTGAAGTGGGTGTTGAGGTGTGCAGACTGGTTGAAACACTTCCCACAAACACGGCAGCGGAAGGGTTTTTCTCCGGTGTGGATGCGGTGATGCCTCTTCAGCATGCTGACTGTGGTGAAGCTCTTCCTGCACACCGTACAGCTGTACGGCTTCTCCTTGGTGTGCCAGCGCATGTGTACCTCCAGCTGGCAGGCGAAGCTGAAGCCTTTGCCACACTCCTTGCAGCTGTGCCACCTCTGCATGCTCTGGTTTGGGTGGGAGAGGCGAGAAAGAGGCCTCTTGAGGGATCTTACATTCTTGATTGTGAGCGAGTGTGTGTTGGGTTTACTGTTGGAGCACAGGAGCTCCATCCCCTGGTGGTCAGGTTTGAAAGGTTTGTGACTTTTTGAAGTGAAGGAAGGAGAAAAGCTCTGAGCTGCTCTGCAGTCCGATGTAACCGTGACAGGCTGCTGCCTCTTCTCATTTTCATCTTCAGCATTTTCTTTTTTTATCTGCACAGATGTTGGTGAAGGTAAAGAGCCACCAGAGTCAGGCAAAGCTTGTGACCGCTGCTGCTGAACACCACTACAGTTTCCCTCCTTGGACACTCGTTCTTCTGGTGAACCATCAGTTTGGACGCTCCTTCGTTTTCCATTTTCTTCGGCTTGCGACAGCAGCTCCACGCTGCCTTTCCGGTTGGAGTCAGAGAACGGACTGTGTTCTTGGGACAGGGATGGCTCTGAAAAGTGAAAAAGCATCAGGTCACACTGGGTGGATATCGAAATAAATGTTCAGCCTAACTTTCAGCTAACTCTGCTGCATGAAAACTCACCAGCAGAAGAATTTAAGTGTGGGAGGAGATGTTGCCAAAAACAACTTAGTTTTAGCTTTTATTCTCGTAAAGAATTAAAAGTTAAAGGTGCATGATGCAAGAAGAAAAAAAGAACGACATCATGTGGTCAAATGTGGGTACTGCAGTCCATTTTCAAAACAAACAAGTGACATCAGTGGTATCCATCCTCTCCTTTACGGAACAATAGCTTTCTCTTGTCAGGGAGAAACATCTTATAACAAGAACTGGGACAGCAAAGGTATTACAAAGATGAAGGCTATTAGTGGAGAATCATCTTTTCTTAGCCTCCACCAATAATTGATGTTAATTTATGATACTGAGACACAGTCTCCTTCAGAACAAGGTCTGCTTGTAAGGCCTAAGGTGTCCCCTGGGGATCAGGACTGAGTGTCCACCCCGTGTCCAGTGGTTATGCACCCAAACAGAGTTTTCATATATTTATATTGACCCAAAGTGTCATGTCCTCCTCAGGAATGAAAGCCTGGGTAGACGTTTGTTCACCAGGGCCTTAAACCTGATTGGATGAAAATGTGGCGTAATGTTGAGAGGGTCTCTAAAACCCCAATCATTGATATGTCATAGGGCTGCAATAAACAGTTATTTTATTAGCCGTCCAATCACCAGTTTTTTTTTAGCAAATAGTCAACTATTTGTGTCATGCATAAAGTATAGCTTATTAAAATATTATTAAAGTATAGCTTGTACATATACCTATATGTAAGTATAGCTAATATTTATAATATAGCTTATTGCACCAGAGTGCTCTAATCTACCCATCATTAGCTCTGAAGTGTGATCTGTTATATGCCATCTAAAAATAAAGACAAGATGATAGCTTATCAAACAACAAGGGTCTCATGCCCGTCACCAACAAGTTAAAAGTTGCTTTAATCAGAACGTTTGCTTGCAGAGGTGTGTACGTTGTTGGATTTGTAACATACTCAACACAGAAAGAGGCTTTTATAGAAGTTTCACCAATCAGAAGCTAAGTTTCATGTGCCGTGAGGGGTTCAGTTTTTGGGTCGCAGCTGCTCACAGCGCCGCTTCAACAGTGCGATACCCTCACGAGGGACGAGCACATTATTAAACAAGGCAGAAGTTTGTGCGAGCTCACGATTGCTGATCGGTAGCTGGTCACGTGGTGTTAATCGCCTCTCGTAACCCCCTGTACACTACACGACGCTCGGCGCAAAACTCGCCCCGATCTCGTGGATTCTCGCACGAGTGGAAAATCGGCTCAAAAAAGTGAAAAAGTTGCACAGTGTACGGCCGGCTTAAGAGCCACAACCACTTTGGATGCAGACAAGCATTCCAGCTACTGTTGTGACCTGAAAACATCTCAAGACTGGACGGGTCGCATCAAAGTTAATCTACTGGCATCAGGTGCCGTGAGGTCCACCCGTCTTCTGATAGTCCGGATCTGCTGGGGGTCTCTGCCAGGGTTTGTAGACACAACAGATTGCATCTGATGCTGTTTTATTAATAATTAACTCTCTAGTTTATAGCAGACAACAAATTCTTTTACACCCAGATTTCACAATTTCTTTCAGATACAAAGGTTCTGATAAACATCTAGCTTACATCACACCACCTACACATCACATTCCATCACCGCATATCCACTCCATCACATCTCATTATTCATATCTTGTGTATAATCATTAGTTTAGAAAAAAAATAAAATTCCTGTTTGACTATATACCTGACTCTGTCTGAATTAATACAAAGTGTGTTTATGGTCCCTGAACAGGCAAAGAACCCTAGACTCTTCTGATTTAACATTCAAAGATAAATCAGATTGATAGTTCATATTTATATGGAATCATCACATCTTATGGGTCATAATTAATTTGCAGTCGTCACACTATAATGTGTGACCACTACAGGCATACCTTGGCGTGTCTTGCCATTTCCTGAGTGAAAATTGGGAGATGAAGCGCTTCAACCTCGCCACCATGCCTCTTGTGAACACAAATTATTTTTGTGTACCAGTTATTTTTGGTTTTAGCTGCCTACCTCCATCTGACTGCAGCATTTGTATTAACAGGTTACAAAGTTAATTAAAGTTGTTTGATAAGCTATCATCTTGTCTTTATTATTAGATGGCACATAGCTGATCACACTTAAGACTAGAAGCTAATGATGGTATCTTAGAGCATCCTGGTAAACTAATAAGCTAAACTTTTATGAATGACACGATGAGTCGACTAATCGTCAACAAAACTGGCAATTAGTCGACTGCCCAAATAGTCATTTGTGGCAGCCCTACTTACACTAATCCAGTCTAGGTCTGAAGTGTCCAGGTTCAGTAGTTTTTGAGCTAGACCAGTCCCAATGTGGCCCAGATGCCAAAAAGTGCTAACATTTCTTTTTACTTAACTTTCACAAATCATGAACTATGTTTTACAGAATTTGCTATTGGTCTATAATAATCCCGTCCTGGTGTTGTCGTTTTATAGGAGCTGATTAAAGATGCTTTTTCTATAGGGAGCAACAAGCAAAGCCAGACTAATTGACTTCATTGATGGCTCTCGGTCGTGGGGTGGGTTCTACCATTGTCTATCAAACAATCTCCGCATGCTACCAGACAACGAACAACGTGACGTATTCATCGCAATGGATGTCGGTAAACGAGGTAGTCCACTGTTGGAGAAGGTAAAAATACCCTTTTCTTAATAAAGGACTTAAATACACCTATCTGCTCCTGATTCTAATAAAGCCCAATTTGAAATAGTCCAAAACTGATGTAAAAGCTGTTTCAAACGAGCTGTCGCTATCTTGTTCCACTCCATCACATCATCCCGCCCATCAAATCAATAGAGCACCTTGATTGGTCCACAATGGTGTGCCATCACAATGCTCTTATCGGTTTGAAATCCCAATAGAGAGCAGTTATTAGCCTGCCAGAATGCTGCTTGGGGGCCGCATATTATAGACAGATATCTAACCTTCCATTTTTATCCAAAGTCCTGGAGAAAATAGTGGCCATCCAAGTATGTGAGCATCTAAACACTAATTCTCTGTTTGAGGAATTTCAGTCTGGTTTTAGAGAGTATCACAGCACTGAAACTGCATTAGTGAGAGTTACAAATGATATTCTCATGGCCTCAGATAAGAATCTTGTGTCTGTTCTAGTCTTGTTAGATCTCAGTGCTGCCTTTGACACAGTTGATCACAATGTTCTTTTAGAAAGACTTGAACATGTTGTAGGGATCAAAGGAACAGCGCTAGGCTGGTTTAAATCCTACCTGTCTGACAGATTTCATTTTGTAAATGTACATGACAAATCTTCTTCATACTCCAGGGTTACTTGCGGAGTACCACAGGGTTCAGTGCTTGGACCAATTCTTTTTACTATATATATGCTCCCAATTGGTAAAATCATTAGACAGCATGGGATAAACTTCCACTGTTTAACCCTGATGAACCTAATCGGATAGGTAGATTACAGGCTTGTCTTGAAGACATAAAAAATTGGATGACTCTAAAATTTCTACTTTTAAATCAAGACAAGACTGAAGTTCTCATCTTTGGACCAGAAATCCAGAAAAGGAAATTGCTTAGCCAATCACCTGATCTGAATGGCATTGAATTAGTCTCCCAGAACAAAGTAAGGAACCTTGGTGTTATCTTTGACCAGGACATGTCATTCAAATCCCAGGTTAAACAGGTTTGTAGGATTTCCTTTTCCCACCTTCGAAATATTGCTAAGATTAGAAGCATCCTTTCCTGGAGTGATGCTGAAAAACTAGTTCATGTATTTATTACATCAAGACTGGATTACTGTAATTCATTACTCTCAGGAAGTCCACAGAATGTAGTTAAAAGTCTTCAGCTTGTACAAAATGCTGCAGCTAGAGTTCTGATGAGAATTAAACATTTTTATTTGATGGGGCCTATGGTTAAAATCTGATGTTAGCCTAGATCGGGACAAGTGGGGGAGTAGAGGGAGGTGGAGTGTACAGTCGGTAAAGATGGCTCTCCCTTGCCCTGCCTCCAACATGCCTCCATCTAAAAGGCTAGGTTATCCAGAGTTATCTCTGTAGTTATGCTGCTATAGGCTTAGACTGCTGGAGGACATACTGACCACTTTTCACACTCTACTACTTTCTTCTACAATCTGCTCTTTGACTGCAACATTTCCTGCTATTTCAGCTGGCAACTTTATTTTTTCTCTAAGTGTTTTTCTCCCCAGAAGAAGCTACAATGATTTTCTGCTGAGCTGTGGTGGCCTCAAGAAGGGGGCCATCGTCTAGCACACTGCTGCTAACCACTTAAACATTCTCACTCTCCTGATATTTTACTTTCTTTGACATTGGATGTGCTACTACTAGTTTACCCGTTTAGTTATAGATTCACTAGGATAAATACAATAAAGTTTATCTCTCACCAAATTGAATATTTACTAAGAAATCACAATGTAACCATAGAAACACTACTTGGTGTGTGTGTGTGTGTGTGTGTGTGTGGCGAATTAAGCTTGTCGTTTGTTTTAGAGACAACTGTGTTTTTATCAAGCTTAGAGGTGAAGAGTGAAGCCGTTTACACATAACAGTAGTTTATCATGTGCTCTGCTGTTAAAAGCACAGTTTTACATTCAGACAGTTGACACATTTTAACCCTCCCTAATGGGTGTGACCCAGCGAGGAAAGTTGACCATTGGGCAGGGTTGATGATTTATCCCTTAGGTCCATGTGGCAGGGGTGAGGAGTGAGCACCGCCTCACCCCTGATAAACATCCATCCTGCTCAATGGTCAACTTTCCTCGTTGGGTCACACCCATTAGGACAGTGGGAGGGTTATAGAACAATAATTAAGACCCTGGTGGTCCTCCTGGGAGGGAGGCCTTCCTCTGATGTTAATGTTATTTAGTTGTTTGGTATTTAAACACATTTATTAAAACAAATACTGACCGATAACTCTTTTGATCATTGATTTTATCACCAGTCTTATTAATTACAGATGTTTTTGAACATGTTACATGAACAGAAAATGAAAGGAGGTAAAAGGGACAAGATTTTTTATAATACGTTACAATTATTTACAGATCAAAACCAGTATGGACCAGTTATGTACGGTTAAAGCAGGATTAACCTGAGTGACTCTTCCTGGATCATTTATTTAAACTGAGTGAACAGGAAGTCTTTAACAGTGCAGCTGGATCTGCTGCAGGAGGATCCAGACGTGGATGGAGGCTGGAGCAGACCCGTGGCTGGACGTTTCTGGTCAGAGGAACATCATACAGGACGGTCTGCAGAGAAAGCTTTGGGACGCTTCCTCTCACTGTCCACTCCATCGTCCATCTACAGGGCCTGCTGGGCTGGCTCAGACGACGGCTGTTACATCTCTAAGACGTATTCAGAAATATGAAATGAGGAGATGGTTTATGGATCCACTAGTATAGCAATTGTGACTCTTCAGCAAATAAAACCACAGTGATGTTTTTAAATAGAGGTTCCTACATACATGAGGTGGTCTGGTGGTACCTCCTCCAGGACAGAGCACAGCTGACCGCCTCCATACCAGCCTCTCATCATCTGTGTCAGCGCGCGCCGGTGAGGATCCAAGTGCAGGGGAAGAAACAGGCAGGGAGGCAGACAGGAACATTTAAAACACTGATTTAATGGAGGGCACGCAGGACAATGAAACAATGAACCAACCAGACAAAATGGACCAACAGGGTAGAAATACAGGAGGAGCTGGGACCTTGGGTAACTGGGAGACGAGAGGCAGGTGGGAGCAATTAACATGGACACAGGACTGAACAGAATGGGGAGACAGGACAGGGTGTGACAGTACCCCCCCCCCCCCCCCCCCCCCAAAAGGGCGGATTCCAGACGCCCACAGGAACACAGAGCAGGGCGGGAGGAGGGGGACCCGGAGGGAGGGCCGAGAGGGACCGAGGGCCCGATGAAGAGGAGGCAGGGACCAGTAGAGTCCGGGGGCCTGCGCCTGGGGCAGAGCAGGCGACGACGGGCTCTTGGGGGCCTACGTCTGTGGCCGAGGAGGCGGCGATGACGGGCTCTTGGAGGCCTGCGTCTGTGGCAGAGGAGGCGACGACGGGCTCTTGGGGGCCTGCGTCTGTGGCAGAGGAGGCGACGACGGGCTCTTAGGGGCCTGCATCTGTGGCAGAGGAGGCGGTGACGACGGGCTCTTGGGGGCCTGCATCTGTGGCAGAGGAGGCGGCAACGACGGGCTCTTGGGGGCCTGCGTCTGTGGCAAGAGGAGGCAGTGACGGGCTCTTGGGGGCCTGCGTCTGGGGCAGAGGAGGAGGCGACAACGAGCTCTAGGGGGCCTGCATCTGGGACAGAGGAGGAGACGAGGATGGACTCTTGGGGGCCCGCGCCTGATGAGGGCAGGACCGGCGGTAACCGGAGGCAGAGACGCCGGAGATGTCCTAGACTTGTGGACTGGAGGCGTCGGCGGCGGCCTCTGGGCTGGAGGCGGTGCCGTCGGCCTCTGGGCTGGAGGCGGCGTCGACCACTGGACCGGAGACGGCGGAGACGTTGGACTGGAGGGGACGTCGACCTCTGGACACGAGGGAGAGTCGACCTCTGGACATGAGGGAGCGTTGATCTCTGGACTGGAGAGAGCGTCGACCTCTGGACTGGAGAGCGCGTCGACCTCTGGAGTGGTTGAGGCGTCGACCTCTGGAGTGGATGAGGCGTCGACCTCTGGAGTGGATGAGGCGTCGACCTCTAGAGTGGATGAGGCGTCGACTTCAGAACACGAGGAGGCGTCGACTTCAGAACACGAGGAGGCGTCGACTTGAGAACACGAGGAGGCGTCGACTTCAGAACACGAGGAGGCGTCGACTTCAGAACACGAGGCATCGACTTCAGAACACGAGGCGTCAACTTCAGAACACGAGGAGGCGTCAACTTCAGAACATGAGGAAGCGTCGACTACAGGACTGGAGGAGGCGTCGATCAGAGGACTGGAGGAGGCGTCGACCACAAGACTGGAGGAGGCGTCGACCACAAGACTGGAGGAGGCATCGAACACAGGACTGGAAGAGGCGTTGACCACACGACTGGAAGATGCGTCGACCACGGGACTGGAAGAGGCATCGACCACAGGACTGGAAGAGGCATCTACCACAGGACTGGAAGTGGCGTCGACCACAGGACTGGAAGTGGCGTCGACCACAGGACTGGAAGTGGCGTCGGCCACAGGACTGGAAGAGGCGTTGGCCACAGGACTGGAAGCGGAGTCGACCTCCATCGACTTCTGGTCCGGGGGCGTAGATTCCTGATCCGGAGGCGTCGACTTCTAGTCCATCGACTTCTGAACCGTCGACTTCTGGACCGTCGACTTCTGGACCGTCGACTTCTGGACTGTCGACTTCTGGTCCGGGGGCGTCGACTTCTGGTCCATCGACTTCTGAACCGTCGACTTCTGGACCGTCGACTTCTGGACTGTCGACTTCTGGTCCGTGGGCATCGACTTCTGGTCCGTCGACTTCTGGTCCGGGGCGTCGACTTCTGGACTGTCGACTTCTGGACCGTCGGCCTCTGGACCGCCGGCTTCTGGACCACCGGCTTCTGGACCGCCGGCTTCTGGACCGCCGGCTTCTGGACCGCCGGCTTCTGGACCGCCGGCTTCTGGAGTGGAGGAGGAGTCGCTGCAGACGGGACCGCTTGGACAGGCTGGACCGGATGCGGTGCGACCTCCGGGACCACCGCTGGAACTGGATGCGATTGAACTGGTGGTGCAGGAAACTGGGAGAGGAGGGAGGATAGAGTGTCCAGTTGGAGCTCCTGGAGACTGAGGCTCTGATGGAGTTGGGCCAGCTCAGCTCGGAGACCGGCAAGCTCTGCTGGGTGGACTGCAGGCTTGCTCCTCTGGCTCTGAGATGAGGGAGCTGCTGGCTGGACTGAAACCCTCTCCTGGTGATTCGGGAGACAGGTTGTCCAGCTGGGACTCCTTGAGGATGACGAGCTGACGGATCCAGCCAAGCTCCGCCTGCAGATCTGCGAGCTCTGTCAGCTGAGCTGTGGGCGTGGTTCCTCCGCCTGCCGATGACGGAGGCGCGGATTGGACCGGAGACGGGACTGTTGGTCTGACTGGGGGCGGGTCCAAGCAGGAGCGCAGAGCCGGGGCAGCGGCGAGCTCGCGGCTCCGTCCTGGGACACAGGATTGCGGTGGAGCCCGGCTTCCTTCCCCACGCCGTGGGCCAGCTCCGGGGGAGCACACAGCCAGTCTGGTGCCCATGAAGCTGGAGCGATCCGGAAGCGTCTCCCGATCCAACCTCTCATCTGTCTCTGGAAGGGTGGAGAGGAACGCCACAGCTGAAGCCCGGTGACGGCGTCTGCGGCGAGGTGAAGGCGAAGCCGGAGGAGGAGAAGAAGCCGGCCGGTGTTCCGAATAGAGGAACTGGAGCAGGCACTCCCAGGGGAGAATCTCCCCGTTGGATCCTTTTACGTGTTGGTTCATTCTGTCAGCGCGCGCCGGTGAGTGAGACGGAGGTGAGGATCCAAGTGCAGGGGAAGAAACAGGCAGGGAGGCAGACAGGAACATTTAAAACACTGACTTAATGGAGGGCATGCAGGACAATGAAACAATGAACCAACCAACCAGACAAAATGGACTAACAGGGTTTAAATACAGGAGGAGCTGGGACCTTGGGTGATTGGGAGACGAGAGGCAGGTGGGAGCAATTAACATGGACACAGGACTGAACAGAATGGGGAGACAGGACAGGGTGTGACAATCTGCATCTTCCTCACGCTCATCCTCCAGGGCCACAACTTCACCAGAACAGAAGCAGAAGTGCTGAATAGGGCATGCTGACCTGTAATAGATTAAAAATACAGGTTTTTTTAAAACATAACCTGCAGTCCACTGGTTCTGTTCTGTTTAAAGAAAAGCAGCAGGGAAAGTTAAATAAAAACTACAGAGAATTTACATTTTTAAGACAGATCTAATCATTATTGGGCTCATGTTGAATAAACAAATGCACATTAAAAAAACTTCAATGCTGTTTAATTAAAAAGCTTGTTTTTAAAACGTTTACATCCACTAGATCTAAAATAGGTGTTCTAAGGTCCAATTAACATTAGAGAACATCCTACTGCATTCAACATTTATAATGCATTTGGTTTATATTAATTACCTACATGTTAATGCTCTGTAGTAATGTGTTGTGTACATTTAACCAGTTTATTCTGTAGCTCTAAAGCTAACATGTGAGTCCTGAAAACTTGTAGAATAAACAAAATTACTTTACCTGAAAACGGTTGTGATGGAGGTAAAGCTGCTGTAGCTCCTTACATATTCCTGCTCGATTTTCGCTAGCTTAGCATTTATCTTTCGCGAGTTAGCTGCCGCCACGGCAGGACCTACAGGCTGAACTGAATAAACGGAATTTAATCATCATTACCATCATCATCACTACCATCACCGTCATCACTCTCACCTCTCTCCACCTCCTTCACCAGAGGAAAGAGAGGATGGAGAGGGCGGTTTTAGGCAGAAACCTTTTTAAATAAGAGTGCACTAAAACTCATAATACTGACCATGTCTACAGCACCTCCATCATCATTACGTAACGGTTTAGTGTGGTTTGACACTGAAAAGACCAAATTACTCTTCAGCTCATGGGTGGATTATGCCAGGCGCGCAGATAGGGTGGAGGACGGGGGGGATCTGTCCCCCCCAGATTCAGATCTACCCCGATCCATCCCCCCCAACTAAGGCCAGAAAGAAAAGGTTTAGCGCTTGAAGCTCCTTTTTCCAATTACATTGAATGCAGCATAACGTAAACAAACACCGACTCCAGAGGCGCCAAAGTGGTTGCTGCTAGGATGCAGGATGAAGCGAAAAAGGCAACGATTACTGCGTATTTAAAAGAGACCAACAGTGTAAGTAGGCGGGATCGATCTGTCTGTTTATGCGTGTTGGTTCTAGTTTCAGTACGTTGTTGTCGGTGTTGGGACTTACTCGTTATAAACGCCAAAGCCTCAATGCTGACTTTAACAAGTCTCATCCACAGATATGATCCCTCGTGAAGTTACTACTTTACACCAGAAGATAGTGGAGATGTGGAACCTTCAGGCTGAGCAAAGTTTGGGAGTTTTTAGAGTTTGAAAACCGCCTCCCGCCGAGAGGCTCCCAGTCGGGGAGAGGAGGAGATGCGCGCAGCATGTAGAGTGCAAATATTAGATAAAACGTATAATTGCTGGCAGGTCTGGTCTTTGTTGACTGATCACTTTGTCTGGTAATGACTGACTCTGATTATGAAGCAGAATATTGACTCTGATGAAGAAATTCACTCATCCAGCCGGGAAGATTGATGCTGCTGCAGCATCAGACAGCTGGTGCTGCACGAGAGGTGTGTGGAGTTTACAAGCTCCAAATGTTGGGTTTGATGTTGGTTTCACCTTCTCTGGGACGTGTTGGATGTAGAAATGATGGTAAACACCGCTAACGTGACAGACAATGTAAAAAAAAAAAAACGTAAAAAAAGGCAGATGTCGATGCGTTAAGTATGGAAGTCAAGTGTGCCACCTAATAATAAAAAAGTAAAATATCAAATTTTAAAAGAGATTTATATATAAATTAAAACTTTCAAAATATAATGAAAATTTATAAATAACATAAAAATACGAAGGAACATCTGTTGGTCAGGCTGAAAAGTTTGGGAACCACTGCTCTAAGTGATAAGTGAATATTGTTTCTTATATTTTATGTGCAGTTTTTTAGGGCTTTTATGTTTTCTGTAAAGATCGGTGTGCTGAAAATCATTTCATGTTTTGCATAAAGCATGAGGTTTTGGTTAGTAATTAGAATAACAAATGACTGAATTAAATAGTGGGGCGCCTCTGTCAGCGCGCCCCAGGGCAGCTGTGGCTAGATCATAGCTCATCCCCATCAGTGTGTGAATGTGTGTGTGAATGAATGAATAATACACTGTAGTGTAAAGCGCTTTGGAGTCCTTACTGTGAGAGGCGCTATACAAGTGCGGATCATTTATCATGTATAGTGATCAGGCAGAGCTTTGTTGCGTAATGGCTTCAAACACGTATCTAAATGTTAGTTTTTACGTAAACCGTTGGATGAAATTACACAAACTGACTGAGCTCTAGTTAAGGCGCTTGCAATAGTTTGTGTGTGTGTACGTGTGTGTGTGTTTGGGGGAGGGTATATTGGAACTTTGTCCCCCCCAGTTTCAAAATCCTATCTGCGCCCCTGGATTATGCAGCACCTCCTCTAACATGAAGAGGTGTAATTGTTGTGTTCTCCTGGACTGAGCTCTGGCTGCTTAACATCTGATATGAACAGGTGGAGGACCTCCAATGTCCAGATTTACAACCAATTACTGTAAAAATTGAATAAACTTACAACCAAAAACTGTAAAAACTGGGGCGACGGTGGCACAGGAGTTAAGTGCTCGCCTCGCAATCGGAAGGTCGCAGGTTCGAGACCCGCTCAGTCTGTCGTTGTGTCCTTGGGCAAGACACTTAACCCACATTGCCTGCTGGTGGTGGTCGGAGGGACCGGTGGCGCCAGTGCTCGGCAGCCTCGCCTCCGTCAGTGCGCCCCAGGGCAGCTGTGGCTACATCGTAGCTCATCATCATCAGTGTGTGAATGTGTGTGTGAATGACTGATGGTGTTGTAAAGCGCCTTGGGGGGTTCCAGGACTCTAGAAGGCGCTATATCAAATACAGGCCATTTACCATAAAAAGCAGCAGTGATAGTCAGATTCCTGCTTCTTTCTGCAGTAAATATAAACTTTACATGCGGACTGATGCAGTGGCAGAAGTCCTGGGTGGGTGGAGCAGTGGACCACTCGGTTAGAAGCCCACTGGGAGTGGAGCCAGGTGAGTAGGACTTCAGTCTGATGCAGTGAATGTTGACCCTCACAACACGGTTCTGATTAGGCAGGAACGGACGAACTGGACCCCCTCTAAAGACTTGACTTAAACATTTTATCATAAATCTTCTTCTGCGCCGGTCAGTCACATTTACAGTCGTAGAGCTGACCTGGACTGGGTGTCTGTGGCGGCTCCGCCACTAGCTGCTGCTCCTCACCTGCCTGCAGGAGCTGCTGGACGGCGGAGTCCAGCAGCCTCCGGAGCCGCTCGTTCTCCTCCCTGGAGCGGAGGAGCTCACTCTGGTACTCGGCCACCGCGGCTTTAACGGCGCGGAAAATCTCCCCGGCGGCCGCGGTCAGCCTGTCGTTCAGGAACGTGTTCAAGAGCTCCAGTTTGGTCATGTCTCCTCCAGCAGGTCTCCACAGAGGCGGAGCTCGCTTTGTTTACGTGCTCCACAACGGAAGTCCCATTTGTGCGCCTAGTTCAAGGAGGTAGCGCCCCCTGCTGGCCCAGGTGTACTTTTACAGCGGGGATGGAAAGAAAAGAAAACGATTTTTCATACAGCGCCTCTCAAGATAAAAATCACAAAAAACGTAATTTAAAAAATACTTTTAGTGTTATTATTATGTTTAAAGGGACAGTACAGTCGTGACGAAAAGTGTTGAGAATGACACAAATATGTGAAATTGGAAAAGTTGCTGCTTTATGAGCAGTTTGCATATACTCCAGAATGTTATGAAGAGAGATCAGATGAATTGCATAGTCCTTCTTTGCCATGGAAATGAACTTAATCATTATCTACAAGCTCTGCACTGGAGTGCCACCAGTGCATACTTTTGGTAGATGGCCTGGTGTCAAGAAGGGCAGCAAAGAAGCCACTTCTCTCCAAAAAGCCCATCAGGGACAGATTGATCATCTGCAAAAAGTATGGCGAGTGGACTGCTGAGGATAGGGGCAAAGTCATATTCTCTGATGAAGTCCCTTTCCGATTGTTTGGGGCATCTGGAAAAAGGCTTGTCCAGAGAAGAATCGGTGAGCGCTACCATCAGTCCTGTGTCATGCCAACAGTAAAACATCCTGAGACCATTCATGTGTGGGGTTGCTTCTCATCCAAGGGAGTGGGTTCACTTACAATTTTGCCCAAAAACACAGCCATGAATAAAGAATGGTACCAAAAAACCCTCCGACAGCAACTTCTTCCAACAATCCAACAAGAATTTTGTGAAGAACAATGCATTTTCCAACACGATGGAGCACCGTGCCATAAGGCACAAGTGATAACTCAGTGGCTCGGAAACCAAAATGTTAAAATTTTGGGTCCATGGCCTAGAAACTCCCCAGATCTTAATCCCTTTGGGATTTTGTGGTCAATCCTCAAGAGGCGGGTGGACAAACAGGAACCCACTAATTCTGACAAACTCCAAGAAGTGATTATGAAAGAATGGGTTGCTACCTTCTTTTTTGTATGACCTTCTTCACCACTCTTTATTCTGCTCTCCCCGCCTATTCCACCTTCCTCAGGATCCACTGATTTCCCTCTTTCCTGTTCACTCTCTCTCTCTCGTTCTTAACATTTTTTATTTTAAATCGCAATTGCTTATTTTTGCTCATTTTAAATATATTTTTAAACATTTTCTAAATGCTTTTTTATATTTTTACATATTTTTATTTTTTGTTTTTGTGAAGCGCCTCGTGATTTTTATCTTGAGAGGCGCTATAGAAATTATATTTTCTTCTTCTACTTCTTCTTCTACCAGTCATGGTTTGGCCAAGACGTTGATTAAGAGCATGCCCAGTTGGATTTCAGAGGTCCTGAAAAAGAAGGGCCAACACTGCAAATACTGACTCTTTGCATAAATGTCATTTATCTATGTAGGAAAGCTTTTGAAACAGATGAAGTGCTTGTAATCATATGTCAGTACATCACAGGCTCAAAGCCAGATCGGGACGAAGCAGGTACAAGGAGCAGGCTAGAGACGTGGTCGTAGACAGGCGAGGGTCGTGGTGGCAGGCAGAGTCCTTGGCAATGGTCAGGCGTGGAAACGAGGTCGTGAGACTATGATCAGGCAGGAAAACAAAAGGCTGAAGATCTACTAGCAGGAGCGTTCAATAATCTGGCAGAGTGCTGGTGGTTGACTGTGGAATATATACAGAAGCTGTGAGGCAGGTGTGTGGCATGAGGTTGATGGTGTGTTGGCTGTGGTTGCTGGGGAAACAGGGTTTGGCTGGAGCTTGATGAGGGGACCAGGTGTGATGCATGAAGGCTGATGAGGTGAATGATGGTGCGTGGAGGTCAGGACCTGGCAGGATCATGACTCAAGCTTTGTGAAAACTAATATTTGTGTCATTCTCAAAACTTTTGGCCACAACTGTGTGTATTTTCTCTGGCGATAGGGGGCAGTAGAAACCTAAATCGTTGCAAGAAAGCAGTAATTTTGTTTTGGAGTAAGACTTTACAAATGGATGCCCATTAGAGTCAAAAGCCCTGGGAGTGCAAACATTAGCAAAATAACAAGCACATCAGACTCTCACTGGCAACAAGCGAAGAAGTAAATGTGTAAAACAACAACGTTTAAGAATGGCAAAAGTTTTGTAACCATTTGTTAAAAATCAGTAAATGCTTTTTGTTCTCATGGGCTCCTGTAGAAGGAAACACGGCATCTAATATGGCATCGCCCGCAGAGACTTAGACCTGCTCCCATGTGTTTTAGACCTGATTTTTATTCAAATTCAATTCAATTCAATTCAAAAATACTTTATTAATCCCAGAGGGAAATTGATTAAATGGTTATATGTTACAAAGCCTCCAGTATTTTTCAACAACTGGGCATCATTCCATTCATGTTCAATCACATTTTGATGGATATTTTCTGAAATTAATAGTAAAAAATACACATTGTCTCTTTAAAACGGGAAAAAAGTGATTAAAAATGTAAGGAAAGGAAGAGAGAAAATGAATGGGGAAGTCAGTGGATCCCGAGAAAGGTGGAACAGGTAGAAAGAGCTGAATTTATTTATTTTTTTTATTTAACCAGGATAGAGACCCATTGAGGTTAAGAACCTCTTTTACGAGGGTGTCCTGGCCAAGAGGCAGCAAAATTCCAAACAGTTACAACACAATGGCAATGATAACTGAATCATTAAAAGCAGTTACAAGTTACTAATGCAGTCTCTGAAGCTGTCAGTTTGGTTTTGAAGGCATTTAGTGAAACCTGCTCAGTCATTTTACAGGTTTTCTGCAGCTGGTTGCAAGCAGAAGGCTCTCTTTTCCAACTGTGTGCGAGCAAAAGGAACAGAAAGTAGCAACTGATCGTTAGACCTTAAAGAATGGGAATCAACATTTTTTCGTGTGATTAATGCGCAAATATAAGGAGGTAGCAATCCAAACACTGCCTTGTAAATAAAAACATACCAATGATTTAGTCTTGAATAAGGAGAGGGTGGTGATGAAGGTCACACCAAAGCCTGAACAGGTGGTCCCTGGTGCTTTAGTGGTGAGGATCCGGCGCTCTCACCACCGCGGCCCGGGTTCGATGCCTGGTCAGGGTACCATAGTGGCGAACCCAGATGGTCGAGCAGAGACATGCTTCTTGACTCGTCTGCATTCCACGGAAGGAATCCCAGAGCCGAAGGTAAGAACAATGTTTTGTTCAATTTTGGAGCTTTCTCCGTGAGTGCAGACTGATCTTGAGAATTCTACGATCTGCTCATTTTAAGAATCATAACACAAGAGAAGACACTGTCCATGACAGCTGTGTAAAAAAAACTTCACACCTGTGAATTCATCTGGTGTCACCTAGGGTGACAGAGAACTTCTCAAGTGTGAAAGTGTTAGTTTGGACAGTGGAAAATGGAAAAGATTTTTAAACAGCTGACAAAGTCCTATGAGGAAATAGAATACAATATTAATATTGATTACAGATCCAGTTGAGTAACTCGGCAAGCCGAGTAAAGACGAGGATTTGAGATTCCAGCTGGCAGCAGCTGGGCACAGCACTGAGTGTTGTGTTCTCACCAGAACTCATGGAGGGTGTGAGGAAATCTCCACAACAACAAACTGTTGGACAAATGATGACATTTCTGGGAATGACTGGTTTCTTCTCCGAGTGGATTGTAAACAATGCTGAAAAAACTGCACCACTCAGGACACTAATTAAAGATACTGGAAGCCAGGTTTTGAAATCAACTTTAAGATGGACAAATGAAGCTAAGACAGCTTTTGAAACTATCAAACAAGACATGCAAACTGCGCCAAGTTTAGAAACACCTGATTACACAAAATCATGTTTGCTTTATGTGGCAAACAGACATGACAGGTATGCCTCTGCAGTGTTGATGCAGGACGCATGCAGTGGTCGTCAGAAGCAGCATATTGCTTACTACAGTGTGAAACTTGACAATGTGGCACAGGGATGGCCCCCTTGTTATCAAGGATTGGCTGCTTTGACTTGTGCTTATGAGAAAGCCTCCGTGATAACAATGGGATATCCTGTCACAATCTGCACACATCATAAAATATCTGAACTGATCAACCAAGGAAAGTGTAAAAGAAGTTAATTTACATTTAATTAAGGACCCGTGAGACATTAAGATTCCATAGTGAATATGAAATCAATCTTACGGACCGCTGAGTTATTTAACCAGAAGATTGGAACTTTTTATTGCAGGGATTATGTAACACTTTGTATTAACTGAGAGACAAGAGAAGAGAGAGTCCTTTAAAACGATTAAGATGATTTATTTCTAAACAATTTAAACAATTTCAAACAAGACTAACTCTACTCTAAATGATGGATGGATCTGGTGTAATAAGACGTGAGATGAATGGTGTGTGTGTGTGAGTGATGTTTAATCAGAACTCTCGTATCCGGAGAAGCAAGTCTGAGTGATGTTGTGATGTTTTGCTTCTAGCTATGATCGGAGTTTCATAAACACATGAGACGCCATATTGTCGCTCCACACTTACCCTTTGAGATGAGACCTCCGTACAGATCCAGACTGCCAGGTCCTCGGACCCCACTTTCGGTACCGGAGCCGGTGAAACAGCGTCAGCAGTACGACAAACTAGTCTTTGGATTGTCTCCAGGTAAAAAGCGACAGTTGGTTGATAGCGTCAGATGGACCCTCCTTGGGTCAGTGAGTTCAGCTTTTATTCTGAAAGGAACCGTTGCTTGGTTGGTAAAATGCAACAGATTTTATCCAGCTTGTTGGTTCTCGGCTTAAAAAGGAAGTCCGGGTGGCCGGTCCGATACTTCTCTTAGCATGCGGTGAACTCCAGTGAGATCTTGAGAACTGAACTAAGATGGCGTGGGGACTGGTTTAATTAATCTGGATGTTTTGATTTCTGGTCGAATCAAAGTTGGCAGATTTATAAACACCGCAGAGGCTGTGTCTCAATTCAGGGTCTGCATCCTTCGGAGGACGCAGCCCACCCGGCCGACGTGGGCTGCGTCCTCCGTCGG